AAGGCACTAATCAATGGAGAGTTAACTTTAGTCCTTACCATCATCTTCTCAACAGTCGAACGGGTCTCCGGGTCGAGGTCGGCTAATTTGCTGTTTTCCGGTTCAACTTTCTGTGTGTCGAGCTCTGGCTCACCTTTCACCAAGTATTTCCACCATTCCATCTGGTTTTGTTTTGTCAGGAGAATGGAGATGGATTTCTGGTCCTCTGCAAAATTTGAATAACCCAATTAGCAATAATGACATCATAATTTCAGGTCAAAACATTCATAAATGAAAACAGATACACCAAATATCAGCACTGAAAATAATTCGGAATGCGTACCCAAACTCCAAAAGCAGTCATCAACTTTGACGGGCTGAAAAAGCTCCCCCTTTAGGTACAAGAAGCACAATTAAGTTAAGTACTCAGCACAAATTACAAATTACACACACTTGAATAACAAGATGGAGAAAAAAGATTATGAAATGCACAGAAGGAGACATACATCAATAATCGGGGGTTGACCTTTGAGCCCAACTTTGAGATGATTTTTCTTAATCTCACATGCAATGAATCGAGATTTAGTTCCAGGAGGAACTGGAACAGTAACGTTAACCTCTTGCAAAGACTGACCCCATGAGTGAGTATCCAGGTCAAGGCCATTGATCTTGTTTGGAGCTGCTCAAGAAAACAAAATATCAAATAGAAGACAATAAGGCTGTATTTGGTAAGCATATAAGCTAAGCTTATAGCTTATATAATTAGCTTATAAGTTTCCTGTAGGACAAACTTTTTTAAGAAACTCGAGTTTATCTCATAAGCTTCTTTATATAGTTTTTCAAATAAGCACATTGAAATTTTTACTGCTAGTTTTACCCACACTTTTATCATATAAGTCAGTTTTTCAACCATAAGATATCAGCTACTCGAAATTCACTTAAAACCTAGATATAATCTATGGCCATATGGAGGTAGAAGGTTAGGTCTGCAGAACCAAATAGTAGGCATTTTTTTACAAGGGATAAAAGAAGCAATATATCAAATGAAGCTAACTGCATAAACAGATTGGACTATATGAAATCTCAACTTATGAAACTACAGTCAAGCAAACTACTTTTTTCCTGCTACTATCAACTAAAGCATTGACAGTAGAGTTAAACTTCTTGCCGAAATTCGTAATGTTCCACAAATAACCATGCCTTCTCCTATACCTGCTCTTTGGCATAGCTACACCAGTGCAGCTTGAAGCATTTGAGTTAGCCAAATATCTCACAAAAATCCCACATTCTCAACGAAGGTACAACTATTTTTTTACTATTATTATTATTATTATTTTTATACCAATGCCAATAAACCAATCACAACTACAAGAAAACCCAGTAACAAGATAACAAAAGAAATCATTTTTATGGGCATACAAGCATACAAGGATAAAAGCATACAGTAACATAAAGAACATTGATGCCACCCAAATATTCAAGCAAAAAACAGAACTTCAGGCGAACTATGATCTAAAACGAGAAACTCGTAACTGTACCTCGACGCCCCTTCTCATCCACTTCCACTTTACTCTCGCTCTTCCTCTCCTCCATAACCACTTCCTTCACAGCCTCTTCTTTTTTCGCCTGCGGCGGCGGCGCCGCCGCCTTGGCCTCCGCCTCTCTCCTCCTCTTCTCCTCCGCATCCACCTTATCCTTCACCATCCTCACTACCGCGTTGACGTCCATAACCAGCGAGTCGCTCCTGAACAGATCGCTCTCCCTGGCCAGGAACTCGAAGGCCTTCTCCAGAAACCCCAGCGGATCCGACGGATCGAGGGAAGCGCTGAACGGCTTCCTCGCCGGCGCCGACGACGACGGCTTTCTCTGGTCGTCCTCCTCGAAGTCCGAGAGTATTGCCATCAGCGGGCTTGGTTGGAGACCGATTGAGGGGAAATTGGAGATTTCTAGGGTTTCAAACGATGAATTTGGGGGTTTACGGAGTAGTTCGAGGCTTCGAGCCGAGGAGCGTCGAGAATTTGAGGTATATATTGCGACAGTGACCGGAGATAATGGCGAAGGAGAGAGATAGTTCTAGAGCCCTTGATTTTATGAGAATTTGTGGAAAAGGTCTTGAGTTTTGGTAAAATTATATATTTGTACCGGTTGAAAATAATGGAAAAAAAATAATCAAAGCATAATAAATATATAATATAAAATAATAAAAGTGTGGAAGGAAATAAGATAGTTACTACTATCCCCTCTATATTAATTCACAACGTGCTGAGTTTAAGTGTCAGACTCGCATGCTTCGGAATCTTATGTGGCAAAATTACATGTTTCATTATTAGGCTTAGGTAGATTTTAATTTACTTCCAATCCAAAAAATAATTAGGTTCAGACTATCTATAAATATGTTGATTATTTATAGTCATTGCATGTATTAATTGCATTTTAATATCATATATTATTATAACAATTGAATTGTAAATACATTTTAAAAGTTAATAACTTTTGTATTTTTTTACCAGTTTTACATATATAATATATCACATTAATCATCTCTTGATAAACTTCGATTTAACATCCAAATTGTATGTATAAAAAAAATAAATTATATTTATCTTTATAACAATAATAAAATTATTTTTTTAATATTAATTAGAAAAATGAAATTATTTATCAAGTAATATATTTATATTTCAAGTAGTTATATGATATAAGTTATAAAAAATATTATAATATAACACATGTAAGTCGCACACGTAACAAATGTCATTCAAAAATATATAATAATATATATTTTTTATAAAAAAATAAATAAATTTTAAAATATTTTTTCTCATTAATTTTAAAATTTAAGAATAATTTTTAATAAGCACCACACGGGTGTTATATTAGTTAATATTTGATTTAAGAGAAACTCATTCTAGAACTACATTTATTTATTTATTATTATTATTATAACTACATTTATTATTATTATTATTATTATTATTATTATTATTATTATTATTATTATTATTATTATTACCAATTGTTGTTGTTTTAGGTTGTTTCACAAAGGGGTGATTTACATTATGGGAGAGGATAGGACCATTTTAATCTGTCCAATTGTATTATTATTATTACACCCTATTTTTGTCCACTTGTTGTTTTAGGTATTTCACAATAAGAATTCATGTATTAGCCAATACTAGCCTCATGAATGAATGGAATAAAATATGTTTTGATTAAAGAAATAAGCTACTTTGATATTAATACATCAGTTAATCAAGAAAACATTCCATTAATATCTTCTTTTTCTTCTTCTTCTTCTTCTTTCCCTAGAAAAGGACTTTAACAAAAGTATATATCTGTCAATGGGCCTACCCAGACACAGTTTGAATTTGGGCTATAATTAATGAGGAATTTACACTCTATATTATCAAATATATTTTATATTACACATTTATACCTAATTGATATTTATTTGCAAAGATACAAAATCACCCTAAAATAATTACACATATACTAGAATTCAAATTTAAGTCAGGTTATCATTTAATTAGGGAAATAACTGATTTAATGGGATTTAATGCCTTAACTTCCTTCTATTCCTTTTTATTTTCATAATCTTGTTTCATGATCTCATTACTTTGTGGGCGGTGGCCATAATTTGCCTCTCTATTTCAACCCATTATTTATCTCATTCAATGATATCGCTTTCTCATTTAAAGGAATTTTGACTAATTTGGTTGCGAATTTTTTAATTAGTTTTGGTGAGTAGAATTGAAATGTTGGGGCCGGGCAAAATTTCGAATAGTGGGAATGGTTAAAAAACTGATCTTGATGCAAATGGAATGATCATTTTTGTTGTTCTTTTTTTGATTTTGTTTTTTTTTTTTTTTTTGAAAGAATAGGAAAGTTTGCTGCGTACCAACTTATCAGAGAAGGGAGAAGGGGGCGCGAGCGTTGATGTTGAGTCTGCTTTGCGCAAAACCAATAATAAATCTTCATCATCTTCTCCAGCCCACTCGAGCTCAGGCTGTATTAGGTCATCTTCTCCATAGTAGTAGGTTGATCAGGGAATTGGGCTTGGCTCAATTTTCATTTGGTTATCGGAAAAGACCCTATAAAAATTTTTTAAATCTAAAACGGATCAGCCGACCCGGTCTACGAATCTATTCTAACTCTCAACGAATTCCTAGAATTTTGGGTGGAATGGGAATTGTAATTCTTTCTACGTCTCGAGGTATAATGACAGACCGGGAGGCTCGACTAGAAGGAATCGGGGGAGAAATTTTATGTTATATATGGTAATCCTTTTAATATTCAAATGGAATCCGAAACCTCTTCCTCTTTGTAAAAAAAAAAAAAAAAAAGGAAGACATAATTTTTTGATGGAAGACATGTTTTTCATTGCAACATATACTGAATATATACTAACATAAACACAAAATATACCATCTGACAGCTGCGTAAATTACAAAACATGTTTTTATTTCTCTCTATTAAAAACGTATGTGAATTAAGGAATTAAATGAAGCAGTTATTTATTTTTATTTCTCTCTCTTAATCAAGTGCATAAAAAGGGGATGGAAGTGTGAAGGATATGGTAACTTACTTTAGGCATTAATATAGATAAATAAAGTCTTTTAGCTAGAGACATAATTATTTTTACTTGTATGGTAAAATTGCAATTAATTTAAAATCACATAGCATACATAAAAATTTTCCTTTAATTTACATGGTACTTAATGGGCTAACAGTTTATTGTTGTTATCTAGTTTAGTTTACGGGCCCAATCCCTGTCTGATAAAAGACTAAATCGTTTGGCCCATTTCACTTGCGATTACAAGAAAACGAGAGAGAGAGAGAAACCAGAAGTTGATGTTACATTTTCGTCTTGAGGGACCAGTTTAGTGGAAAACATTATTTTTTATGTAAGTTTACATTTTGACTTTTAAAGTTCCTAAATATTTTGATATAGATGTTGACATGACTCTACACTCACCGGATTTTTAATACAAAAAAAACGAAAAGAAAAACCCGGAGTTGCATCATGAAGAGAAAAAAACCGGGCAACTTCTTCCATTTTTTTTTTGTTTATTTATCAAGTCAAAGAAAAATATAGTTGTCAATTAACAAGTTAAATTTAATTATTTCTATAAAATTTACAGTCTAGCTAGATATATTCCAACTCTTGTTTTCAGATTATAACCATTGACTAAGTTGATGTCTACTCTTCATAGTCTCATAATGTAATGCAAGTTTCATTTTTTTAAAAGGTCAAAGGTACAATAATCTATAACCAAACCAACTCAACAGTGGTTTTAGATCCGTTGACCTCAAAATCACGTGCTTTGGGTCAACGAATTTTGTCCCTTTCTAATACTCATCATATCTTTCAATTCATCCAATTAAGAGCTGATAAATGAGTATCATCTTCAAAGTATTCTCATAACAAAGAGAGCTATTAGTACCAAATTCCAGGTAATTTAATTTAATCAGTTTTGTCACGTTATTTCTGACAATTATCAACATTTTATAGCATGAATTCTTCATTTTCTTTTTTTCATTTTTTTTTTTTTTGGTCAAGTANATTTTTGCGTGACACTCGGACTTTTTTTCGAGCAATGGGTTCGGAGAAGGAAACGTTTAGCTCGACGGGCCCGTCGTTTTTAACGGCCATCGACTGGAGCAACTCGAACCACCGGAGGTCCGTGGCCGCCAGCCTGGTCCAAGGCGTGTACGTGCTCGAGTCCGACCGCCAGCAAAACCGTCAGGGCCCGCGAGCCCTGGCCCCACCTTGGTGGGAGTTCTTCGGTTTTCGGCTTGCCCAAGTCTTAATCGACGACCACGACCAATCCTATTTCGGCGCTGTTTTCGAGTCCAACCGCCACCCGGGCCCTCCTTACCCGGGCCACGCCGGCCCGCGGGCCCCACAGTGCGTGGTGGCCTTCCGGGGCCCGATCTATAGGCCCGACACGCGTGCCGAGGACCTCAAGCTCAACCTCGGCTGCCTGGCCAACAGCCTAAACGGGAGCTCGCGGTTTCGGGTCGGGTTTGGGCCGGCCCGTGAGGCTGCGTCCCGGTTTGGGCTCGGAAACGTCTGGCTCGCGGGCCACTCGGTCGGGTCGTCGGTCGCCCTCCTCGTGGGCCGGGAGATGGCCAAGTCCTTTGGGGCCCACCTCGAGACGTACCTGTTCAGCCCGCCGTTCGCGTCGGCCCCGATCGAGCGGATCAAGAGCGAGAAGGTGAAAACGGGCCTCCGGGTCGCGAACAGCGTCCTCACGGCCGGGTTGGCCCTGGCTGCGGGCTCGAAGGCCCGTGAGGAAGGCCCGTTCGCGGCCCTGGCGCCGTGGGTGCCCTACTTGTTCGTCAACCGGTCGGACGTGGTTTGCTCCGAGTATGTCGGGTATTTCGAGCATCGGGAGAAGATGGAGGCTATTGGAGCTGGAAAAATCGGGCGGCTCGCGACCAAGCACTCGTTGGGGAGCATAGTGTCGGCCGCGCGAGGGAAGGAATCGGAGGCGGCCCACCTGATCCCGTCCGCGTACTTGAGCATCAATTGCGGGCCGAGTTCGGGCTTTAGGGAAGCCCATGGGATTCATCAGTGGTGGAGGCAAGATTTGGAGTTGAGGTACAAGTTGTATCAGTATAAGTGAACATTGTATTTGATCAGAGGGGTGGCGAATCGTGTCATCGTGTCGTGTTTTACTGTTATTGTGTTTTGTGTTTTAACTTATTTTCATTTTCTCACGAGTAATGATATTAAATTTGAATTTTAACTAAATTTTATTTATTGTTTTTTCGTGTGTTGTTTCTTGTCGTGTCGTATCCATCATGTCATTTTTGTCTCGGTTATCGTGTTCGTGTGGTAGCCAGCAATTGCCTAACCTAATTGTGTTGTTGATTTATTGTGGCAACTCGAGGGCTTTTAATTGATTGTTCTGTATGGTTCAAGAATAAAAACCCCTTGATGTTTAGTAACATCTTACATGCTTCCCTCACACAAAGTCACAACATATAAACATTCAAACTCAAAGCCTAAATGTTCAAATTCAAATATATAAAGTTCAAAGTAGAAGTCCACCATCATGAAACTTTATTTTGCAAGTTTGCATGAGGCACTTCAAAGTAGAAGTTCCATATTTTCTACCCCACACTTATACTTTTCTTAAATCCCTTATGCATTTAGCTCTTAATATATCATTCCAACCAACACCATTTAGCTCTAAAACATGCACACACCACGAGATATTGTAGCCAGAAATCATTCCTTTCTCTAATTATGGCACGACGAGTCTTCGATATAAAAGTAAAAGCTTCATGCACCAACAGTCGCTTGTATGGAAGAGATAGAGCTACAGGAATAATCTTTGTAGCTTCTTGGCACACTTCCTTGACCGCCAACTCCATCACCAACTATAATAGAATTTTGAGATTATATACAGTGTAATAGAAATGCAAGACAGCCTGACCAAATCAGATATTTGTTTTATTTTATTCTTTTTGGGCATACAGTAAGTTGTTTTTTTTTCTTAACTAGGAATCGACATGCACAGATGCAAATAAAATATTATAAATTATATGTGCGTACATAATATTTAAAGTTATAAGTTAGATACTGAGTATGTCACATTTTGAAATTTTGACAATTAGTAAAGAATGAATAATATATATATAAATTGCATAACTTACTTAAGAATCACTATATTTATTATATTATTGCAATAAATAATATAGTTTTATATTTTTGAGAGATTGGTTGAAAATTATTATAGTTTAATATTTTTGAGAGATTGTGAGCAATTAATTGATTGAAATTATTATTATTANAAATAAAAATTACAATGCACAATCTCAAACAATCTCATTTTCCAAAAAAAAAATGTGTTATTGATTAGATTTCAGTTACATTTTTATTAAAAATCATTATTGGGTTGTCACGGATTGTAACAGAAAAAAACGGAAAACCAACACTATTAAATATTTTGCTAGCAATCATATATATAATATGTATAAATATATTACATAATGAATATTAAGAAAACTGCTTTTTATGGAATGAATTATGTTGGAATTTAATTAATTTGCAGATTATGAATCTTATTATATTATACTAGTACAGAGTCCGTGCGATGCACGGGGTGCATAATTTTAAGGCTATTTATCCAGGTTTATAATTATATACATGAATAAAGAAAAATGTACGGGATATATATAGTACGTGACCCAGCACGTGATATATTTATTTGAAAAATATTATATTATAAGATGTAATATTTAATAAAAGTTTATAATACGCAAGAAAATTTTACAATGCTCAATAAAAGTTTTATAATATTCAAGTGGAGTCTTAAAGTCTCTTGTACATTAAGACTACTGACAAAATAATATTTAATATATGAGTTTCTTTTCCTTGTAGCCAAATTGTGAATGTGATTTGAGGAGTACAACAAATTGATATATAGCTGACTTGCTTTTTTCATTGTAGTTTTTTTTAACATTTATACTAATAAAAATTTAATTTTAGCATATAAATTTATCTCTTGATATAAGAGAAAGTAACAGTTTTACTTATTGTTGTTCACCATATAATATTTAATTATTATTTTATTATATAATAAAAAAAGAATATTGTTAAATAGTGTAGTAGAATTGTTATAAAATTATATGATTTTTTTTTTACAATATGGATTTAATATTTTTTATGATTTGATAATATAAACAAATCTATAATTAACTTTGACAAATAAAACAAATAAATAATTTAGTAAGTATTTAATGTATATACTAAATATGAATATATTTGGTATAATCAAATACCAAATATAATCAAATAAGTCAAAGTGTACATTTTTATTTGGTATTTGATTTTTTATTATTAAAATCTTTTATTATACTTACTTTTTTAGAATAAAACAAATAAATGAATTAATTACATAAATAAAATATTATAATACCAAAATAGTAATGACATTTAATGCAGTTGACTTTTCTGGATAGTAAATGTAGTAAATAAAATCTCCTTTTATATAAGTATAGATATGATATTATATTATATTGCTCAAAATAGGAATACATTTATTGCATTGACTTTTCAACTTACTAAATTTCGTAAATGGTACTCCTTATTATATAAGTATAGATGTGGATTAGTTATATATACAATTATATTTTTGGTTAATTTTTCCATTGGAAGAGAGGAATGACGATTTCTTTTCAATTAATTTATTTTATATTTCCGCAATATGTAACATTATCGTTCACTTCCTTTTCAACTTTTCATAATAAAAATGAACAATCGGAGAAATCGGTGGCATCATTTAACAACAACAACAACAACATAGCCTTTAGTCCCAAGAAATCGGAGAAGGAATTATGACCATTCTTGGAATCAACACATTATCACCAGCATGATCTCCTGTGAGTATCTTACACTCAAGAACGTGAGTGGATAGCTTTGTCATAACAATTGTGTCTCATTACAAAACCCATAGAATGATCCATGTTCCGCAACAACATGACTGGAGTTCCAATCTTCAAATACAACTCATGGTTCGGTATTCCGGAATACTTGATACTATTCAAAAACTCAGACGTATGTAGATAAGACAAAAAATAATTATTATAATCCGATTTGCATGTACTGTCAGAGCTCAAGTACATACGACCATCCAACAAATTCAATGATGTCATGTACTCATTGATAGACTCGACCACATCCAACGTCGGCGCTAATATAGCCCTATTCTTCAAATAACTTGGATCTTCGGGTGTCTCTTTATACATTGGATATGTGTTTTCAACGATCTGAGCAATAGGATCATCAGATGGCTGAAGCAAAATGTCCTCGGGTATGTCTATAGCTGCACATCCATCATTCGACCCCCGATAGTTCCATCTCCGATGTTGGCTATCCAATCTGCAAACCGTGCAAGCTCATGACGTTCATCCGAATTAGCAAGTCCCTGAAGGCGCATGTTTTTCATAAGCCTAAGCACAATACAACTTCTCCATATGTCAAAAGCATTAATGACAGCATTGACTATGTCCTGACGGCTACCATTTGGAATGACATGAAGGATTTGTCGAAAATCTACACAAAAAACAATCGGCTTCCCAGCAAACGGTTTGTTCAAGTTCAATGGATCAATGGCTCCCATAATACCCTGCAGCGATGTCTGTACAGCTTCGAAATAATGCTTGTGCATCATTGGTGCTTCATCCCATATTATTAGAGAAGCACGAATTATCAATTCCGCTAGAGGGCTTGATTGATTGATGTTGCAAGTAGATTCCTGGTGGGGATTCAATGGTATAGCAAATCGAGAATGCGTTGTTCGTCCACCTGGCAACAAAAGCGATGCTATTCCGTTGGATGCGACACATAAGACTATGTCGCCTTTGGATCTCAAACCAGCAGATAAAGTCTGTCTTCCCAGTTCCACCATAACCATATACAAAAAAGAGCCCTCCTTGGCCGGATTCAACAACGGACATAATTCTTGAGTAGACACTCCTCTGTTCGGCTGTCATTTTCTTAAGAAGCATATCGTGTTCCACAGCGAGGGCCTTTCGATCATAATTCAATTCATCAAAACTTAGACGATTCGAACTTGAATTGATGTTCTCCCTATCCGGAAATGACATAGTTGAATATTTACGAAAACTTGACCCACGTCGTCTCAATAAATTCTCAAACTCAGCAAGGGCCAGGTTCTTGATTTGTTCTTCAGTGAGCATCAAACCTATAAACCAATTATTTGTCACAACCAATCGATGCATTTAAATTTTGAAAAGTTGCATACAAATTTTCCTAAATAATGTATAAGGTGACTTTAAATATCAAAGATGAACTGCTTTTGTTACCAAAAAATGTGGGCACAATTTTGAATGTACATCCCGTCCAAATATCAGTTTTATTTTAAAATAAAAATTGCACGTGGTTTTAACCAATTTACACACTTTTTTGAAAGATATATTATTCAATAAGATTGAAATAATTGATTAGAAATTATACAACTATTTGTTTCATAAATTTGTATCCAATTTGCACGGTTTTTAAATTGATTTGTATTTAGAATTGTTTTCATAAATAATTTTTTTTGCTTAAGAATCTCTAAATTTGTTACAAAAAAAGATATGATTTAAATTTTGGTAATAAAATAAAATGTGATATGAAAAAAATGGGATTCAAATTTTGGCATAAGAATCTCCAAATTTGTTACCAAAAATAGGATTCAGATTTTGTTCTAAAGATTTACATGTGTTTTTTCGAACTTTCCATTAATAGTAAGTCAAACATTATATTTATTTGGTCAAACTTTCTATTATTGTATTTTTCCAACAACCTCTTTATATATATATAGATATAGATATATATATATATATATATATATATATATATATATATATAGATATAGATAT